AAAATAAAAATAAAGGTTAAAAAAATTAAATACGAAAAAAATAAAATGAAATTTAAAAAAATTTTATATTTATAATTCATTAAAAAATTTATATTTATAATTTATTATGAATTAAATGAAATTAAAATTTAATACTCCATATAGTAAAGATTTAATTTTTTCATGTAAAAAAATGAAAAATAAATATCGTGTGTGTGTGTATATATATAATTTTTTATTTAATTTTTTAAATTTTTTTAAAAAAATTATGATATGATATTTAAAAAAAATTATAAAATAAAATATACCATAAATGGAGGGATGTCTTTTTATATAATTTTTCTTACAAACAGCTAAACTTGCCAAACACTTAAAATTTAACTGCTAACAGAAACAGCCGGTCAAAACAGCTAACTCAATCAGCCATTCAAACCAGCTAACATAAACAGCCAACTGCCAACTGCCAGTGTCCAAACAAGGCCATAAACTATTTAGTTTGCGATAGTCATTTTTAACTTCACATGATTTAGTTCGTGATAATCGGTTTTGACTTCAAATGATTTGGGATAATTTGTATTTAACTTTAAATGATTTTGTTCATGATAATCAGTTTTAAGTATTTGAATCTCGATCCTGCTCTATATGATATTTTTGTCTTTGATTTGAGATGAAAAAATAAATTCCATTCAAGAAAATAAAACAAGTCGAAATGATTACACACCAATATGGTATCATGTTAATTTGTTTTTTATCTCTCCATCGTGGATGGCTAGAACTAGCAAATCGATGGTCAAGTCAGGTTTGGGTTCGGTCAGTTTGGATTCGAGTTACTTAGGGTTCGGTTTGAGAACTAAGGAATAGTAGGTCAGTCAGGTTGGATAGTTTGGTCGAGTTTCACATATTTTTAGCAGTTCATTTCAAGTTAGGTCAACTTTAATTTTGGTCAACAAAATCTTTATTCAAAATCAAATATTTTCAAATCATGTCTCGGGTAAAAAACATGTTAGGTTATTTTTCGATGGGTCAATTAGGGGCATGTGTCGAGATGATTCGAGTTTTATACCACATTTGTCCCATTTTTTTCAAACGATTCGGGCTATACTACAAGCTTATCTTTCTTTGTTTCTTAGTATTCAAGAATCAAGATCAGGATAAAGTGAAACCGGTTCGGGTTGTTCTGCTCTATCACTATTCAAAATTAGATATAAAAAAATATAATAAATAAGGAGGAGGCAACTCACACTGACTTACAAAGTAATGAAAAATGATATACGGAGTATTTATTTAGAATGTTATAAAAAAGTAAAAACAATAAGGAAATATGAAAAAATGTTACAACATACGCCAAAAATAAACCACAAATTGTGATGAGTGCGATTAGAACAGTTTAGATTCTTAGATGTTTCGCTCCTAATCTATTTTGTTAGAATATTCGAGTCTAGATAATTTTTATATCTATCTTGGAAAAATATAAATTTTGACAGTTTTTTATGTTATCTCATTATTTTAATAAATACATACATACACAACACACACACACACACACACGGGACAAGAGGAAGAAATGGGAAAATATTTATGTAACTTGGTCTTGTCCCATTTTAAAATGGTTAGAATAGCTTCGGAACAAAATCTGGTCATGCTTAATAAAACGATACACAACGATTTCGAAATTTTTTGTCTACCCAGCCACCCTTAGGCCTATAGATGACCAAAGCGTGGGGGATTAAGTTTTATTGGGCTTGAGGCCTTCCGAGCAAAATGGGCTTCCTGGTTACCTCAGAAAGAGTTTCTAGTTCGCTCACACCTGTATATAATCTCTACGCTACGCTAGGGTTCCATTCCATCGCTGCTCAGACCTTACCCCGAAGAAGTGAAGCAAAATGGTTCGAGTTTTATATCACATTTTGTCCCATTTTTTTTCAAACTGTCGGGCTACAAGCTTATCTTTATTTGTCTCTTAATATTCGAGATCAAGATAAAGTGAAACCTGTTCGGGTTGTTCTACTCTATCACTCTTCATAATTAAATATAAAAAAATAAAATAAATAAGGAGGAGGAAACTCACATTGACTTACAAAGTAATGAAAAATGATATATTTATTTAGAATGTTATAAAAAATTAAAAACAATAAGAAAATATAAAAAAATGTTATAACATACGTCAAAATTAAACACTATAAACTTCATAAAAGCTATGAGCTGCAAATTGTGATGAGTGCGATTAGAACTGTTTAGATTCTTAGATGTTCCACTCCTAGTATATTTTTTTAGAATATTTTAGTCTAGATAATTTTTATATATATCTTGGAAAAATATAAATTCTGAAAGTTTTTTTTATGTTCTCTCATTATTTTTCTATATATATACGGAGTATAAGAGTTTATACTACATATATAATCTCTACGCCGCTAGGGTTCTTTTGCTCAGTCCGCGAAGAAGAGAAAAATGCCGGCGGGACACGGGTTGCGGTCGAGAACCAGAGATCTCTTTGCCCGCGGCTTCAGGAAGAAGGGGACGATCCCGCTCTCCACCTACCTCCGGACATTCCATATCGGCGACTATGTGGACGTCAAGGTTAACGGCGCCGTCCACAAAGGCATGCCTCACAAGTTCTACCATGGCCGCACCGGTCGCGTCTGGAACGTCACCAAGCGCGCCATCGGCGTTGAGATCAACAAACAGGTACGTTTATACCCGATCTGTGATTTGCTGCTTGGATGTTCTTCGGCTTGCGCTGTTTTTTATTATTCATGGTTTATCGTCTGGATAAATATTACATCTTCCGGCGATTCTCATAGAATTTTAATGTTTGTTTAAATGGAATTTGATGCGATTAATCGGCTCTAGGAAATCTCCGGCATTAATTTCTCTGTTGACCTTTTGTTGTTTTTCTGTTTGGTTTGTGTTTGAAAATCCTTCGTTTAGCGTCGTGTGAAATTGAATCAATTTTTTATTATGAATTCTGTTTCAGTGATTTGCCCTTGGCTAAACCCTAAACAGACCCAACCCAGATTTTTGGAGTAATTTCATAGTTTGTAGGTTGGGAAATTTCAGATTTGCAGCTGTCTAGACGCCCAAATGAATTAGGTCTGGGTACCCTGTTTACCCAATATTGCCATTTTATGATATGATTATTGTGTTTCTGTCCTCAAATGCCTTTATTTTGCTCAGTTTGTTTCTTTGAATCTCTTCATGTCATTGTTTTTTTCTTTATATTTAAGGTATAAAGGTGCATGTATTGTAAGTGAAGTGCGGAGTTTGTTTTTTTATCGCTTTGTTCATAATGTGTTACTCCTCTATTTCATTTGTCTTCAAATTTGAACTAGTTAACCATGCTAAATATTTCTGTGAACTCTCTCTTGGTTTATAGGTGTAGTAGTTGCTATATGCTACTCTATTTTAGAAACTCATGAAATGGTTTTTTATTTAAACACAATTTTGCTGCAAGATCAACCTGTTATGTTATTTTTGTGAATACAGGTCGGCAACAGGATCATCAGGAAGAGGATTCATGCACGGATTGAGCACGTTCAACCTTCACGGTGCAGGGAAGAGTTTAAGCTGAGGGTAAAGAAAAATGATCAGCTCAAGGCTGAGGCTAAGGCGAGAGGCGAGGTGATTAGTACTAAGAGGCAGCCACAAGGTCCTAAGCCCGGTTTTATGGTGGAAGGTGCTACTCTTGAGACTGTTACGCCCATTCCTTATGATGTGGTTAACGATCTCAAGGGCGGGTACTGATTTCTTTGTTCACTCAGTATGGTTCTGTTGTTCCATGATCGGTTAATTAGACTTTTAATGTTGTTTTCTTGTCAAAGATTCCCATCTTCAAGTTTTTGTGCCTTGCACTTCTATATGTAGTGGAACTTGTGTTGAATTAATGGAGGCTTGCTCCAATTTATCGACTTTGCTGTTTTGTTTTGAAGAAATTGCATATCGTTTGTTCATCTCTTTTTCCATCATTCTTAATATTTTTTACCATCCAACTTAGCATCAAATTTTATTCTTTCTATTACATGGTGAATAAATCATTTGATAAAACAATTTTGTTCTACATTAACTTCATAAGAAATCATCCAATATAGCACCATTAAGAAATACAAAACACATATCTAGCACTCCCATCCAATTTACACTTTTATAGCACCTCATATGTGTTTCTCATAATCAATATCCCCATTTTACCCTTTTGTTTTCGGTTTCTACCCCTCAACTGCGCATTTGGAGAAACCATTTCGCGCACTTCCCCTCATCTGCGTAAATTCAGGAGGAAGTTAATCATCAGCCGTTACAACCTCATCTCCCTATTACGGTGCTGAACAAAAAACAATGATCGTCATCCCCTGACCTTCGAAACCAGAGATCCGTAGGCATCGTCTTTACCGGATTCAGTGCCAGACACACTCTAGGGTTCATGTTATACAGTCCAAGTCCAGATTGAAGCGAAGCATCCAAATTAATAGCTGCAGAGATTCGCCGGAAGCATTCGTCGCCCACTGCCTCAACCGAGACACTCACATTTTGTTTCAGGTTNACGCATTCTAACCCAAAGCCAAACTCCTATACCCACGTACAACCAAAAAACAGAATATTAGATAATCATATAACCATGTTGACCATACAGAAAAAAGAAGACCATGGCAATGCATAATGCCACGATGCATTTTTAGCCATTGCACACATTTATTGCCAGATACAAATTACAAAACCAAACACTGCCTATTGCGTAAACCACATAAATCCAAATCCCACACACTTCCACACCAAAACAACCGACCCACATGCCCGCTACCTGCACACTGCACTACAACAATTGTGTGTAACCCACCACAAATCCATACCATAAAAAGACCACCCAACAAACCCACATTATTATAAATCATATGGAAAAACTGTATTCATGATGTAAGGGAAAATCTATTGTCACCACATACACACAACCAAATGCCACAAAATTAACATCACAGGAAGAAATACAATGCAGTTGTTACCTCAATTCCCAAGACGAAACAGAACAATGTTACCTCATAACAATACCAAATCCACTACAACAAACAACAACAACTCCATTTACTACCAAATGCTAAATACCCAAAAACGATAAAAATAAAAAAACATATAGAAACCTCTTAAACAACCACAATCTGAAACTTTGGGCATTACCCAACACGTATCAATCTTGCTGCCAAAAATCACCCAAAATACAAAAGAAAAACAAAAGTCCAAATCACCGAACAAAAGCACCTAAAATACAGCCATGCATAATCCTAATAGAATTTAAAAAATATCCAAAACACACACACTTCCGAACTGATCTCCAAACATTAGCAAATAAGCTTCTAATTACACGAACAGAGCTCTGTACATCCAAAGGATAAACCCCAAAACGTTAAACCTCAAAAAACAGCAACAAACCTTTCCATCTACCAAAATCTGAATTTTAATGCATTACATAACACAAACCATACTTGCGCACAACAACCCACCAATTAACAAAAGAAAAACAAATTCCGAAATCACCCAACAAAGACACTTAAACACAACCAAGAATAATGCCAAAATCCAAACTTTAACATTACACCGTCATATAAACAACGGGAAAATTGTACCTGAACCTTCTCCATCCGTTTACTAAGAGGAAGTTCATCCAGCGCATCATCGTCTGGTTGTTCTGGACGACGCAATGCATCATGATCAGTAGCCATTGCAAGCCTTGCACTGCGTCTCCTTTGTGGAATAGATCTCTCCGGTGTTGTAAACTCTGTAGGATTCATAATTCCAGAATTTAATTTTGGGAAGTGCGAAGCAACCGCCTGATTCACCGAGCTCAAAATCCGAAAGCATGCAAAACACGATAAACGCGAATCTATCGCCTGACTAGCCGCCCTCTGGAATCGGAAAATGCACTGCCACTTTCAAATCAAAACGTTTCCTTCTTTAAAGTACAAGGACAAAACCGGAATTGCACATCACACTAATTAGCGGAAATCACTACTCTCAATAGGAGTGCTGAATACGTACTAAAACATGTACAGTAGTGCTATCTTAGTGCTTTTCCCTAACTTCATTATATGTACACAATTTGGTTTACATAATGTTTTACACATTTCCTCTCCTCTGGTACTACGCTTAAAATGTCATTTTGATTTTGAGATGCAAACAAAATGTTTGTCTTTTCAAATTTCAACCCCTAAATGCATTTTTTTAGTGGCCAACAAACATCCTCTTCAATTTCATCATTTGATCTTTCTCTATGGTTATGCTTCTCCGGAATCACTATCTAAATAAATGATGGTAATAGTGTAAAACTAATGTTATTCCTCTTCGTTGATTCAACTCATTCAAGTAGTATATGTGCGTTTAAATTAATTATGAGCATTAAATTTTTTGGATACATTCATTCGTTGTGATATCAAAAATTGAAAAACAAAATTACGTGGAAAAAATATTAATATCAACATTTGATATCAATATTAACATTTATTATGATAAATTTTTTATTACTTTATGTTATGATAACCTTAGAGCACTGATAATGGGTTTGATGTCCTGGGGCTTCAAATTTTTTATTCTCTCTCTGCCACGTCAGCTTTAACTTACACCCAAAATTCACTGAAAATGGGTTTGAAGCCCCGGGGCTTCAAACTGGGGCTTCAAACTTCATTTTTTACATTTTTAAATATACATCTTCTAAAATTAAATTAATAAAATGTAATTAATTTATTATTTAATTAAATTGAAACATGAATAATAAAAAAATACATTAATTAAATAAAAAAACAACAATAATTAAAAAAAAAAGATACATTAATAAAAAAACAAAGGTAAATTATATTTCTCCTTGATCTCTCTCATTCTTTGCTCGTAGATCATTCGTCCAAACTCCGACAATGTCCTAGGGTCGGTTTGCATGACTTTCATCTCGGCCCCCTGCTCCTTTAGCTTCAACTCCTTCTCCTTTAGCTTCAACCTCTCTTGTTCCTGGAGATTGAACGCCCGAAGTTGTTCAATCATTGCCCGGCCGATGAGCTAACAAAAGAGCAACCTCATACAACTCTTGACAAACATAAGCAATACGAATTGAACCACAAAAAAAGGATAAGGATAAAGATGACATACACTTCTCAATGATCAAACAAAAGTATGAGCAAAAATCATGGCTTGGTTAGTGACATTCACCACGACACCACCAACAGATGTTGGAAAAAAGATTCACCTCCAAACATGCATTTTTTTTAACAAAGACAAAGCCTCTCGAACCCCAACTACTTCTGCCATATGAGGATCTTAATAACAAGCAAGAGTACCATTACAACTTCACTATATTAGTGTATGCTTTATTTTTAGTATGTATCAAGGCTGTTAAACTAGTGATTTGAGTCGTAAAATTGCACAATTGTACGCGTCCTTTAGTATGTTACAATCCATAACACTACTAACATTTGTAATTTGCAAAATTCCCAAAATTTCTAGCACGATTGTATAGAGCATCGATCCAGATCTTTGCTGACATTTGATATTCACTGACGTTTTACTCCATATTTTTCTTAAGCTTGCTTTAGAGGACATACACGCACTCACAGACACACAATATATATATATATATATATATATATATATATATATATATATATATATTAGATTTTGGTTCTCGTGAGAATGCAATCTTAGGAGAAAAATGAGAATGAATCTAGTGCTTTGGATTGTGAGATCTAAGAGTCAAGATTTCATCAAAATTAGATGCACCAAAAAGGTTCGAAAATGCATCACGTCGAAATGCACCATAAACCTTCGAAAATGCACTATCTCAAAATCTGAGCGCAGGATGCAATCTGAGCCGCACGATGCATCAGATCTGACGGCTAGATTTTATTCTCATTTCTCTCCACAAGGTGCATTCTCACGGGAACCAGCCCCTATATATAAATATATATATATATATAGGGGCCGGTTCTTGTGAGAATGACCCTTCATGAAAGAAATAAGAATGAATAATATATGTTGATCTAAAACATTTAACGGCCAGATTTGTTCTAAAATAGTGCTACGTGTCTAGGTTTAATAAGGCAAGCAATTATTGAATTAATTTTACATCAAAGGCTAATCAACTCAAAGGGCATTTATGTAAAATTCTAATCCACTAAAAAAGGTAATGAAGTGACGCATCAATCAAATCCCCACATTACCTCAATTACCAAGTGCAATAGAACTCTTTAGAGATTCTTTTTCATTTCAAATTCATTGGCTGAAAATAAAAAAATAAATATAATATAGGAAATTATATTTAATGTCACATTTTTGGATTTATCTGCAAATCTCGATCAAATGGAATTGCACTGTGATGGTCAATATATGCACAATGGCCTATCAAAAATGCATATCAATTTTTTTAATTTTTTCATCATTCCACATGTAATTAGTCTTTAAAAATCAATTTAGATTCTACATAATATTCACTACAAAAACTTTCAGATGCATTGAATGTTTTATATAATCCATTAAAAATGTATACCGTCGGAGTTCTCAAAGTAAGAAATTGAAAAAAAGCTAAGAATGCATTGTACTCAGAACAAGTGTAATACAGATTTGAGAAATAATTTGCCTATGCGGGATTCAAACCCACATCCGTAATACATACTGCTCTACCAGTTGAGCTAATAGGCAATGCTTGATTTTTTCAAAGTGACTCATCTTGCACTTAAACCCATTAAATACACATTTTAATTTTTTAAAATTAGTATCATTCAATGTATATCTAACTCATATTCAAATGTACTAGAGAATATTTCAAATACATCATCCTTTGTAGAATATTCACTATTTAGAATATACATATTCATTATATTTATGTAAACAAAAATCACCATCAGTTGCATTATACTGTGAAAAATTACTAGCCTCACATTGATTCTAAGAATGCATTGCCTTCTCATGTAAATGCATTATTTTAACTCTGATAATGCTTAATAACTCCAAAACAGAAATGAAACTTCAATTATTTTCAAAAGTTCCATTTTAACAATATTTCCGTTTCGAACAACATATGTTTTCAATTCAGTTTTTGTCATATTTAAGTTAAATAGAAGGAAATAAATTATACGTAAATCTAAAAGTGCACTAAAAGTTCCATTGAACACAATAAAATATGTTAGTTATTTTTCAAAAATACCTTAGCTACACTTGTAAATCTAGAAAAACAATCGATGGCAATTTTTTGAGAAAAAATCTTAATGATGACAATAATATAGATAGAATCTTGATCACTAATAATGCGTCTTAATCACGACATAAAGTGAACCAAAAAAATTGGTGGGTGTGCAGTACCAATAACACAGAATGCATTTCAAGAGTACAAAAAATGCACCATAAATACTTAAATATGCAAACAAAAAAGCATAAAATGATATAGGTCATTCATCATATGTGCATCACCACCTATGATAAATGTAATGAGATTGCAACGGAAATTTTGTTAAAAGAAACAAAAAAATATGCCTACATTAATTCCAATAACAAGTAGAATTTCATTTGCAACTACATGTTATATTACCATCTTGTGCAGAGTGCACAATAGTTAATGTCAAATTATACTTAATTAGTTAAAAAAAACATGAACACAAGATCACATATAAAAACTTCTTTAAAATATTCATACTGCATCTTAGTCTGTGATTGTGTCATAACAAAGCTATCATATTGCATTTCAAGATTACATCTTTAGAAGCAAAAAATATTCATATTAAATTTCAATATAAACTCTTTAAATGTGAAAAACATTCATAATTCATTTTAATAAAACTTCTTTAAAAGTGTAAATGACTTGTGATTCATAACCTTTTGAATAACACCCCACACTGTCATGATGCATCTTGGACTATGGATGTATTATATTAGAATAATTACAACGCATTTTAGGAATAAGTGTTTTGTGCTCATTTTCTTTTTGTTTTGGGTCCACAAACGGAATGAATGTTTTGTGGATCTAAAACATCCACTTATTAGACTTTTAAAAAATCAGAAGCAAAGTAAAAGAAGAAATCCTCCCATTAAATCAATAAGATGAGTAAAATGGAGCAACAACAATACCACGTGGTGTTGATTGTTTAAATGTTAGTTTTTGACCCTTTTAGAAAACTCAAATTTCAGAACATCGGGCGAAATTAGTATCTAAAATAATTATTCTAATTCATTCTAATTCTATGTAATTCAAGTTAAATTGAAAACAATACCTGATGCTTGTCGTTCTACACGACAACTTGTCAATTTCGAGCAGCGCTAGCCGTTCCTGTAATTCGGCTCCGTCGCGGCGCTGGTTTTCATCGCGAAAGCCTTCTCACGAGATCTGATAATAACCTCGTCTTCTCCGCCGGCCTTTTGCTCTACCCTAGCCAAAAGGCCAAAAGGTTAGCGTTGGATGAAGAATGTTTGAGGGAGAAATCTGGAGATTGGGACATAATTTTAGGAAAGACATTACTCCTCAATAAATGTAGAGTTTGAGAGAGACGGATGAGATGTAGAAGCCCTAATATACCCCTGCACGCATGATTAGATCTAACTCTTTCAAATTCATTCTCATTTCTTTCATAAGATCCATTTCTCACCTGAACCAAAAAATATATATATATACTCTCTCCGTCCGAGAGTATTTGTCCACTTTTATTTTTACACACCATCCAATGCACTTCTTTAATCCATTTTATCTTGTAATTTGTATATGAAAAAATTATAGAAATTATATATTAATAATCTATATGTTAAGACAAATCAAACAAGATTACACATGACTATATTTAGGCTTACACATTGAGAGAATTTGATGAGTCAAACTGCTTAGATGAACAGTTCCAAGAATTAAAATTGGACGAATATAGCGGGACGGGGGTAGTATATGCACACACACCTTGACAAAAAGAAGATTTTGAATTGCATGAGCAATATGTTTTACGTGTTGGTAATCAACAAAGTGAAAACTCTTGGTTAAATTTGTCATTTGTGACTAAAAAATGTTGATATGTACGAGTTCGAGTATTTCAAATGGAAATTAATATGGAGTACGTCTAGTTGTTGCCTAGACAACCAAGGTCTAGTACTTAATCCATATTCCAAAGGCATTATAACCCCGAGGGCCGTCTTTGAGGAGTGAGGGACCAAATATGACATTAGAAAAATGAACTCCTATGTCATAATGAAGTTAGCCTACCAATTTATTTTTTCAATAATAATTAACATTATAGAATTAAAAATAATATAATGTCCAATTTATAGTATATATACAAAACACTAATATGTAAACCCCCTCGAAAATGGGCTCAAGCTGGTGACTACCCTGCCATAGCCGTAAGCTGCATCTGATAATACCTTCCATCTTCCAAATTTCAAGATATCTATTATCAACATATACCAAATAACAAGCTAACAAAGGTGCTAAATCTCAAATTCAGTGTCATGCAATACATATATACATACTACCACTAAGGTTAAAAACATATTTAATCATGCATACAAAAATCTTAATGCTCAACAATTTGATTAGATTGCATGGAGATATAATTGAGAAGTCATTCGAATAATTGAAACCCACCGATAGCGTAGGCTAGTGGGACTTCAATACTCTCGATGGTCTAGTGTTGGGGAAAGGGTTCAACTCTAATTCCAGGAGTTGATTAAGGTATCCTGATATCGTGTAATGGTGTTGTGCTACCATTAACTAGTACAATCGATATCATATAGTTTGCCACTGCCTGAGATATATTTAGATCTGTTTTTTGGTATCCTTGATATTGGAAGTCGATACTAGGCTACTGTCGTATGGTATTCGATTATTGTTACCGAGTATCGTTAGGCCATTTTACATAACTTTAAAATGTTCAGCCGTCTTCAATCTCCTTTCAGCCATTTCTACTGAGTTCTCTAACAATAATTTGACCACAAAATGTTTAGAATTGATTTCTAATACGTAATTAACATCTTAGATAAAATCAAATTTGATCAGGTTAGATTTGATGAGATCTATTCATATTTTATTTGATTAGATCTGATCTCGTTTGATTAAATCTAATTGTGATTGATTTGATTTGATTTGAGGTAATTTTATCCAATCTAATCAAGAGTTGAAATTAAATGGACCAACTTGAGTATAGTTATCAATAGGTCCACTAACGGTTTAACCGTTAATTAATGGACGTGTGTTCTCTTAAATGAGATAAATGTTTTGATAATTTGTATGCCAAAAATGGTAGAGGATGAATGAGAAATTGATTTTCATAGTTAACCCATTAATAAAAAATATGGTAAGGATTGTAATTTTTGCAATTTTACTGAACCAATCTTCTTTTATTAATTTTACGTATTGTTTAAAATTAGTCCTCTCTTACGGAGTTAACTGGCCATTAATCTCCAATTATTCGAGACAAATTTTAAACGGAGCGTAGCGTAATGGACGTGTTAATGGCTAATTAATCACCATTAACACGCTATTAAGTGTGCCACAAATGCCATGGATTTATGGTGTAGGAGTTACATGTTTTAATTGGCTTGGTTATAAAATCAAAGGTTCTCTCCATTCTCTTGAGTGGTGGTTGTTTCATACGTGAGGAAGAAAAAAGAAAGGAAAAGTGCTTCCTTGTTTTTTTCAGAGAACTCTTGATTTTCCGGCCAACTTTCTGGCAATTCCTTTCAAAGGTTTTTGTCGCCAACGTTCCTACGTTGTTCTTGTTCGTTGGTGTGTGATTGGTCCGTTCATAAAGACCTCGCTGTATTCTGCCCTAAGACATTATGTCCTTGATGTCTAGTGCGTAATGTCCTCGCTGTCTAGTGCATAATGTCCTTGTTATCCAGTGTTTAATGTCCTCATACAACGAGGCTTTTTGAGAAGATATAGAAATTTATTTTCTATTATTTTTATTTTGTAATATTCTGAATATGTTATAAATTCATAATTTTATTTATTTTTATTATCGGGGCCGTTCATCTTCCCTGTCCGTTGTAATCCGTACAAAAATTGTAACAAAAATCATTATAATAGCTTTGTTATATTGTTATTATTATTATTATTATCATTATTATCATTATAATTATCATCATCATCATCACCATCATCTCCACCATCATCATAAAATAAGTATGAACCTAGGAATCACATTAAAATTTGCCCTAATTGTAAATGTCCCAAAGAACTTATCTTTTTCTCTATTTTTTAGATATATATGTAAAATCTATAATATTTTGCTCAAATTTTAAAAGAATTTAACCACTTACATTATTATATTCTTATCATTTTCACTTTTTTAGTGTTCATGAAAATAAAATAAGCTAATTGTTTTTATAGCAACAATAATAATCTAGTTGAATCTCATTATAATAGAGTATGAGGGTGGGCGTGTAAAACAAAACTTCCATTTCTCCGAAGATAGGAGTTGAGCTAGAGAGGTTATTTTAAGAGACGCCCGACTCACACAACATCAATAATAAAATTTCACAGTGGCACTACTTTTGTACAACTAAAATCATTTTAAATAACACTTTTTCACTTTTTTTTGAAAGAAGACAATAATTTAATCACAAAGAGAGTATTTGATAACATTATAAAACTTATTTGATGACATTATAAAACTTTGTAGATATTATTAGTAAATTATATGTAACATTAAATAATGTAACAAAAATTAATTGTGCAATAATCATTATATAATACTCTCTCCGTCCATGAGTATTTATCCACTTTCATTTTTACACACCATCCAATTCACTTCTTTAATCCATTTTATCTTGTAATTTGTATATTAAAAAATTATAAAAATTATATATTAATAATCTATATGTTAAGACAAATCAAACAAGATCACACATGACTATTTTTAGCCTTACACATTGAGAGAATTTGATAAATCAAAGTGCTTAGATGAACAATTCCAAAAGTCAAAAGTGGACAAATACTCAAGGACGGACCAAGTATCAAAAAAATTAGAAATTATTTTCAATGTTATTCTAAATTCATCTAATTTAATTTTAAAAATCTTATCTGATTCGTTCTAATAATCTGATTTGATTGAATATAATTTTAAGTAATGATAAGTAATAAGTCAAAGTTTGATACTGAACTCATCTGATTAGATCTAATTTTAATAATAATAAGTAATAAATTAAAACAAATAAATTGAACAAAACTGACCCTAACTCTTGTAGTCTTGAGAGTGAAATTTAGAGCATATTCTTTTCAATCTATTCAATTTGGATTAGAAACAATTTTAGATAAAATTACATTTAGATCAAGGCAAATTCTCATGTTAATCTAAATCCTTGTTTATGTTATGGATCTCAATATATTTATAGTATTAAAAAGTGGGCCAAATGCAAAAAAATACACATCCAAATCCATGGAAAATGTGAAGATGTCTACTTATTAAATGTGGACCTCAGGAAAATAGTGGGTTTTCATTGAGCTAATCACCTTGTTTTTAAAATATTATCACAGTTTGATTTTTTTTAAAAAGATTACACACTATAATTTAAAATAAACATAATTTTACTAAATTTACATTATAACAAAAAACACTTTTCTATAATTAATGTTTCATGAGTAAGATTTCCATGACACTGTCTGGCAATGTCATGGGATGACCCAGGGATGCTCCGGTACCACATTTGTGAAATTGGCGGTTCTTCCCCCAAACTCTTTTAGTAAACCCCCTACCCTGACCCGGACACACACCCCACCCCATTGAATTGCACTCTGCAAAGTGATTTTTACTTTGGAGTTAAAATTTAATTCTAAAGTCAAAATTAACTTGTGAGGTATAATTGAAGAGGGTATGGTGTGTATTCAGGTCGGGGCAGGGTGAGAGATTTACTAGAAGATTAGGGAGGTATAAAGCGTCAATTTTATAACTGAGACATCAGAGCAACTCTGAGTCATCCCATAACATTGCCCGGAATGTACCAGGTAATGTTTCATCATGTACTGTAATTAGTAAAATAATCAAACTGCCAATTTCAGAAAGTACCCATTTTTTTACTTTTGCTCCATCTCGGGGCCGTGGGCTTCTCTCTCCTCCATTTCTTGAAATAAAACCCTATCTGCAATCCAAATTCCCCTTCCCCTCTTTCTGCTTTTCTTTGTCTGTATAATCAGATCCGTCGATAGGATCCATTCATCGATTTGTCGTTAATCGCCCCGTTCTCGCGCAATCAAATGCGAAGACATTCGAATCTCTCATTTTATTTCTCCCCATCTTCCAATATTCTCTGAAAGGCTCTCACTGCTTCCCAATTCCATGCTATCTTCATTCCAGTTTTGATTTCGCTGTTCTTCTTCTTGAAAATTTGGGATTTTCGGCCGGGATAGAAAGGCTGGCGATTGTTCCGTGTATTTGGTAATGGCGGAAGCGCCTCCTGCCCGCCTCAGGTCTATTCTCGTCTTTGCTTCCCAGTTTGAAGAGTCCGTTTGCGTGGGTGAAGGTGGTTGTGGTTATGAAGTGAGTTCTTTAACTTTAGATTCAGTGAGAAAAGTGTGGACTGATCTGCTTATCCCAGAATGGTGACTGTGGCGGGAGTGCATCTCCCGTCAGAGATACCCATAGTAGGATGCGAACTTACGCCTTATGTTCTTTTGCGTCTGCCCGATAGTTCTGTAACTCCAGATGATGTTCCCGAGTCCTCCCCCATCAATGGCCAATTCTTGAGATACAAGTGGTCAGTTAATCATTCTTTGTACCCACTGCCTTACAAATATTTTGTTTTAACCCTATTAGATGCTTGGTTTTGTCCGTTTATGTGCTCTTTATGTGATTTGGTGCTGTTTAATCTTTTGGAGCAGTTTCTCTATTTCTAAGTATATGGAAGTGTTTTGGATCAATCTGTAAGGGCAATGCTTTGTGTTTGACAAATTGCCAATGATATTTTGTATACAAAAACGTTGCGTTGTTTACATATAAGCATTCAATTTGTTCTTTATTCTATATATTGCAACTCTTCTTACAAGATAAGAGAATGTTGTTAGCTGTTGAAATTCTTGCCAGGGTTTTGTGATGTTTCATTTTTTAATGAGATGCTTTATATGTTATAGACTAGTCCATCTAATGATGTAACAATTCATATTGGTATATGGTTGATTACTGATTATGGATAAAGTTGAGGATAGATTAAGGATATATAGATGGATTTTACCTATTGTATTTTCTGGGTAGGAACTAAGAATATGAAAGGTTAATGTACCATTGATCACTGTGATGATGGATTAAATAAGGCTTAAATTTGTCGTATGCCTCCCTACCTAGTGGGGGCATGAATCCCATGGATTGCATATTCGACCCTCCTCACAATGCCCTTACCTTTTGAAAATAAATGGGGTAAACTATTTGAAAACTGATGAGTTAGATGATATTACAAAACTGAACTGGTAATATGTTGAAGAATTAAGAGATTGAATTCTATGGAACCAAGAATTAGGTTCAATTTTGTGTCAAATTGTTTAAATTTTCCATAATGTAGGAGGGTGTAGCTGCCCTTTATTTTGATGCAATCTCTTCCCCATTCGTAAACTCTACATAAAAGGTGACAAGGTTATGAATGAAATGTTATCTAGTGTGAAACGCCGCCACTTTTTTATTTTTTATTTTTTTGCATGAATTGGTAGCATTAACTACTTAGCTATTAACTAATTTTAGACAATCAATTTGTATAGATTTCATGCCACCAACCCCAAATAGGTGGGAGTTCGGACTTCACTTAGTATTAAGGTAATTGTGTGTTTAATTTACATCTTTATATGTTGGTGGGAGGTTTAGTGTATATTATATAGGTAACCATACAGCATACGTTTTATACCCATATGATCATTAGTAATTGTGGGTTTAAGAAATGCAGTAGTGATGGTTAAGGCAGTCAGTAGCAATGAAATTGGATTCAAGCGGTAGATCCACACTATACATATGTTATATGTAGTTGCTTCTTATTCCCAATTTTGTACACTAGTTAGTAGTCCCCATAAAGGATTTCCTCCTACACAAATTATATTATTTGGCATTCAACTACAACCACTGCACCAAGTGACATGTTTGATTCCAAAAGAATTATCATGCCTTTTGTGTAGTATCTTGGAGATGCTTATTTTTGCAAAGGTGCCCGTGATTATATATTTATATGGTTGTTTATACTTGCCGTGTAAATTTCCCACCCAGTTTGGAAAACATACCCTTAAGAAAAAAAGCAAACTATAGCTAAGTGATTGTTTTTT